AATTTTAGCAATTCATGAGCAAAGGAAGTGAGAATTTGAATGTAAGCCTGTTAAACCTGCCTGCAAGTTTTGATACCAGTTAGAGTGTACCTGATGTAAGTAATAATCAGTCTGACTTATGTGGTCATTGTTTTTTCCCAGTTCATTCTGTTGATGCTCAGAAAGGAGAGAGACAACTAGAGCAGCCATGTGGAATCTGTCTGCTGCAAAAAATCCATAATCCTCTTGCACAAACAAATTATTAAAACTCTAGAGTTGTCTTTTGCAATAGACTAGAATATAAGGAGTTGAAAGAAGTGAGAAAATGATCACATACATGTAGTTTCTTCATAATTCCGTAACACAGAGCAAAATACAGATATTTTGCCATTACTGCATCAAATGCTACAAAAATACCTAAGCAATAACTTATTCAGAAAAGGCAGTTTAATTGGGGTTTATCTCCTCCTTTTGAGACGTGGCTATCGGTACTACTGGCACTGAAGACAACTTGAAAATGACAGGAAAGTTAAGATCCTATTGATGAGAATGAAAGGTACTTTAACTGGTGGCATCTGTGTCTTAGCAAAATACCCTGAGCTCTTGTAACAGTAGATAAGGAAACCTGTGCAGGGGGGGAAAAGGAGAAATACTACTTCTCTGTTCTGATCCACACGTAAAGAAAATGACAAGTCATGACTCCTGGAAGCCTGGAACCCTGTCTGCCTGGCGTGGGTGGTATGAGACACCTGACACACTTAGCTGGAATTGGAGAGCTGGTGTCTAGGATCAGCCCCTTTTTTACATTTAAACAATGCAGTGCCAGCCAGACTATTAGACATTATGACTCAGTTATTTGCTACTTGTGCAAAAGCTAGACTGAGTGAGCTGATCTGTGTGATGCAAAACAGCAGTGAATTGGTCTAGTTTGCCTGTATCAGGAATATGAGGCTGTGTATGCTGTTTAGCATAGATAATAGGTGGCATGCCTAAAAGATTTTCTGCAATTCTGAGATTCCTGAAGATAAAACAGGAAGTAGCTAGAACAATAGCCTTCATTTATTTATTCATTCATTCATTCATTCATTTATTTATTTATTTATTATTTTTATTCCAGACCTGAGCCACTGACTTGAATATTGGGGTTATTTTATTTTTAAGCCCATGCTGTGACTCCTGATAGACTCAGCGGTGGGGAATGAGTCATACCACACAGCTCTAAATACAATGTGCACATACTCTGCTGGGTCCAGCTGTACAGCTAGTCTGGAGCCCAGAAAAGGAGGAGCAGAGACGGCAACATTCACTTAGGCCCGGGTCTTTGCAAGGGATGCGTTGGAGCCCAGAAAAGGAGGAGCAGAGAAGGCAACATTCACTTAGGCCTGGGTCTTTGCAAGGGATGCAAAGACCTGCACTTGAATGAGGAACATGAACAGGGAAGGCAACTCAAGAAGTCAATACTCACAGCCCAAGCCCTTGTCCTGCATATTGTGGGAATCCAGTAATGGGCTTTTTGCACTCGTCCTGATGTGTAGAGGGTGGAATGTGCCTGACCAGGGCTGCAGACAAAGTAAATTCTTGTTGCGAATGACCTGAAATCACCTGATTCACAACAGTGTGAGAAGGACTGGATAGAAGAGTGGAATAGTGCAGATTTAACACTGGTGGAGTTTACTATCTATAAGTAGCTCTGTGATTTCACAGACAGACCTTTAAATAAAAGATTTTAGTAAAACTTTCTGTGAGTAATTCTCCTCCAGGAAAGTTAACATCCAAGCTGCAAGGCCATGTATGGCTCTCCAACTGACCAATGCAGTGTCTGATCTGTGATGAATATCTGTATTATCTGTAAATGTGTCAAATGTACATCTTCAAAATTAAGCTATTTCATTAAAATTAATAGATCCAGTCCTAACAACCATGTAGGAAAAATCTTGGTAAAGCAGGGAAGGCTGTAGGACCTGGGCTGGTGAATCTTAACTTGCTGGTTTTATAAAGAGATGACCATTGCCAAGGCATTGCAACTTTATTTGATTACATTACACATCCAATTAAAATAAAAGATTAAAAGCCCCAGTTGAAATGCTTCTTTTCCTAAAGCACATATGTCCATGAAATCTCTCACCTCCTTTCTCAGAAAGATAGCATCACTGTAAGTCAGTTGTGCCACAGCTTTTTAAGAAAAATATATTGGTTCAAGAACTTGAGCTAGTAGCATAACTTTTGTGATAAACAATAAATTGCAACATTGAATCTGATCCTGGACTTTCTGAGTGATTTTTCTTTATTGTAAATTCAAACAAAAAATTCCTCCTGAGTATTTTTAGGTCAGTTGATAACATTAATAAAACCAGTCTCATTTGGCTCTATGGAATATGCAAATCACTGAAAAGTGAGTTGTTCATACGCACTCACTGGGAGATTCAGTTTTAAATTGTGCTCTTCTTGCTATTCCTGTTTGAAACGAATAAGCAGAAGCTTAAGATTTTTTTTCCCATGGAAGTTTTACATTTCAGGGTATACCCTATGGAATGTGTCTTTCACAGTGTATTGAAATTGTATTGTAATATTGCTCTGTGTATTAAGCTCTCTTCTGATGAAAGCACAGGTGAGTACTTATGCCATCTAATGTAATCTGGATTTCAAAAATATAAACAGCCTCTGCATTTACAAATCTGGTAATTCATGTTTGAAATTATGAAAAGCTCACTGTTAAGGATTTTAGCCAGGGTTGAATTTATGAACAGTCTCATTTGTGTCTTCTTAACTCCATGTAAATCTATGTGCATATCTTAATTGAAGGCACATTTGGAGGATTATTTGCATGAAAACTGCTGATGAAGACATGTGGAAATAGGAAAGTTATTTTAAGACATCTATAGTAGGGTATTTTCCTATCCAGGATGTTTGTTAGCTCTGACAAATCTTTGTTAATTTTGTCTGGCTGTTTTCATGAATCTTTGGATTCCAACAAAAGCTAATAAAACCAGCTATGAATGCTTTAAATATAACTACATTTCAGAGAATATCAATCAGAGAAGGACTACATATGTAATGTCAATACAGAAGCATACACATTTGTTGCTTTGTGCCGTGCAGTAGCTTTCAGAGGAAGACTTGCTCCCTCATCAAATTTCTATGAATTTTTTGAACTGCTCTTTCCCAGAGTTAGGGTAAATTGCATGACAGATATGAAGATCATCAACACATCTCCCAGGGAATCAAAGTTGCTGTTGACCTTTAAATGTGAACACATTCACATACCAGTCTACCAACCATCTGGTGTGACCTGACATTTCTAATACTGGTACTCCTGTCACTCGCAGCCTCCCTCCAAAACACCACAAATGTGCCCACAGTGACTACCATCTTCCTCTGCGAAGTGTCCTCAGGGAGGTATGTTTTGCTTCCTCTGGCTTTTCTATTTCCATGACTACCTTTTTCTCTAAATCCTACTGAATTGTAGCCCTGCTTGTCAAGGTTGTTAAGGGAGCCACCAAATCTCACAGACCCGGGATTCAATCTCCCCAGCCAACATGCCCAGCCAGGAAAGGTCCCAGGTGATTGCTGCATCCCAGTCCTAAGGATACAGCTGCTGCTCCTCTTCCTGCTTGCAGGTCTGGCTGGTAGCAAGGTTGAGTTTGTATCCAAAAGACGCACTCACACACACACACACACACACACACACACACACACACACACACACACACAGAGGTCCCTAAAGTGGCTGACCATACAGACTGCTGCACACATGTAGAGCACTGTGGGTAGTACAATTCAACTACAGTGCTACCCAAACTCACACAAGGGCAGGCAGCCTTGTCCTCTTCTTCCTCTCCAATCAGTTGGAATGGAGGCTCTCTGGTGAAAAAATGTGTGTCCTTATTCTCCACATCCATAAACACACCCACATTCACAGCCCCCTTGATTGTCAACATGACCTCTAAACCAGCCTCCATGACTGGGGGCCCTTTCAGTGGTAAGCAAGTCAACTCCTACTTGCCAGGTAGACCAATGTGATGCTTGCTACTGAAAGACATGCATACACTCACAGACTCATCCATAGGTACTCCTGTGAATATTAACATGGGTTCTCAGCCTGTCTAATATCCATGCCTGGACCGTGGGCTCCTCTACCCCAACCACTGACTGACTCAGTCCTCCAGATGTGGAAACATTTCCTCCAACTCACCAGCTAGTCCAACTTCAAGTTTGCTAGTGAATTATGCATACATACAGAGGATTAAATTCACTGAAGAAATATCAACACACACAGGTATCTCCAGGTGCCAGCACTTAGACCTCTTACACACGCATATACAACCTGATCCCTCCAGTTGCTGCTACTCAGACCTACAGCCCTTGTGCCCATAGCCTCCTCTCCAGTTGCTGGCACCTGCACCTTTCAACACACATACCAGTCCCTTCAGTTGCTGGTCTTTAGGCCTACATGCCCTGTGGCCCACAGTCCCTCCAGTTACCATCACATAGACTCTTGCGTGCCGGTCCCTCCATGTGTTAGTATCTAGATCCATGATCCCTAAGACCTATGGACTCTGGTCACTGGCACACAGATCTCTTTTGCAGGCTGGTCTCTCCAGTTGCTGGCCTCATTTTCCCTCACTTTTCTCTGGACCCTTTGGTCTCTCCCCTAAACACCCCATAGTCATTTTTACATAAGTCCACAAGCCTTTTCTGATAGCTCATATCCCAAGCACCCTCAAGTTTCCCATAATGCTCATGTTAATCATCTTTTACCCTTCCTATCAGCTAACAATTGTTGTTCAGGTTGACATTCTTGAGAGTTCTGCCTGAGTGGTTCCTTTAATGGACCATCAATCAGTGGCTGAAGCATTCTGGATCCTCATTATTGTCTCTGTTGTGACTTCCTCATTAATGTTTCTGTGTCTGTGAGGTTCATTTATCACTTTCCTCATTATTTGTTATTTCTTTTATAGTGAGTAGATCACAACCAAATAACTTAATGAGTCAGACGCTCCCACACTCCACATACCACCACACTACTGACTGACAGCTGTAGCAGGACTCAGAACTGCTGGGTACCCTGTAAATACAGGGTCCAGCTTCCCTTTATTATAGACATTTGGATCATGATAGATTGAAAACTTCACTGGGTTGATTGAAAGTGAGGATGCAGTTTTACATGTTTTCTTCATGTTCGGGTAGACCTGAAGAACAGGGCAGGCATTTCACACAACATAGGTCCATTTTTCTCCATTGCATGATGATACACAACACTTCACTGACTTCAAGCACAGTACTTTATCCAGATGATGAATTATTTTCCAGACTTTACAAACCTTTATCATGATGGTTGAGATAAAAGGAACAGAAAGAACGATGACGTAGTTGTGGTTTTTGTAGTGATGCTCATCTTGTGTCTTTGATGCTTGTTTGTATTATCTTCAGAGGGATGTTTTAGTCTAAGCAGGGAAA